CATGCGGGTTCACTAGTTTCTATTAAAAATCTCTTAAATTTGTTTTATTAACCTACCCACTTTCCGTTTCTTAATTTTCCAGATATTGCGAGAAGCGTCGCAAGGTGCTGCTGGATCATGTGCATGAAGGCTACGAAAAGGATTGGTGGGAGTACACAGAATGACGCGAATCCTGGATGGATGATTAAACAGCACCAATAAAAAAAAATATTTTGATTCAATAAGCAACAGAAAGCCGAGCAGGGAATGAGCAAAGCAGCAAACCGACGACCAAAAAAAATATATAAAAAATAGTTAAAATGTCAGTCAATATCAATCGAATACAAAATGCAAGAAGAAACAAAAACAACAAATTGAAACCAAACCGATGAAAGGGCGATCGCATTTGGCAGTATGTTGGTTGGGTATGGAAATAAGGGGACAGAGGAGAAGGAGATAAGCGCGAAAAACTGTTGAAAACGGCATACTCTACGGCAAGGCAGTGCCCAGAGACCAGGAGGCAAGTACCAAAACAGCAATAAAATGGCGGCAAACAACACTCAGTTGCAAAATTGTTTTTTAGTAAAAATTGTAATCACCATTTCGCCAAAACAACAAACAAGGAAAAGTAAACAAATTCAAACAGTTTTTTAGCATTACAAACCAACACATGAACAACAAAAACAATCTTCCAACATATGTATGTATGTATACGCAAGTAAATTACACGCGACATTGCGGCCGATTAGAGCTAGCATATAAACTTCAAAAGGAAAAATGCCATCGTTAGTCGCTTTGTTGTTGTTGTAGCGGCTACTGAGTGGTGTTTAGTCGCCTTGGTCGGCCTATTTGGCTCGTTTTACGACCCAGAAGGATTTGTAGTTTTACGCTGAAAAGCTGTTGACAAATGTGTAATAGAAATATGAAAACCTTTGGGAGATTCCGCATGGTCGTCGACGGGCCTCAATTCCATGAATCCACCCGCACACACACCCAAGTATAGTCAAATACGTACTCTGCTCTGCTCCAATTCACTCTACCCGAACAACTTGCTAGACACACACACACAGATACACCACACACTCGAGTGCGCGTCTGCTTTGGTTTCTTTGGTATGTCTGCGCATTTCTCGATCGCTAATGAAATTCCAACATTGCTTGCTGTCTTTTTCATCTCATCGCTCTACATGATTAGTTTTTACTAAGCAAATTAGCGTTAGAGTGGCGTTTTAAATGGGACGACACTTGAGTAGTTATGTAAAGCAAAATATAAACAAAAACAAAAAATACAATAAAAAGTTTTAAATTAAAAAAAATAAATAAGACAACACCTTTAATAATGCATAGCTGATGCATTAAGCTGAGCAAAGCGGCAGCGTGAACTAACAAGCGCGGGTTGAAAAATTTTCAAAATATATAAAAAAAACAAAAATATTTCAATAAAGATGCGAAAAAGACTTGCCTGCTCACGTTGGTGGCATTTTGCCGCATTGAATGAATTAGATTTATGTTATATAAAATGTTTAGGAAATGAAAGCAAACAAATTTGTAATAATTTTTGTGTTTTTTTTTCAAAGAAGATGAACACAAAGAAATGTTAAGTTTTTCTCTTAATTGTCATTATTTTTACGTTGATTTTTCTTGTAGTAGTGTATAAAATTGCAACTGTACCCTAAGCCGCTAACTCATCCAACACTAACTCACTGGAAAACGAACACAATAAATATATAAATAATAGAAAACAGCAACAACAACAATATCATGAAAACTTAAACGAAAGTAATAATAGAAATTTACTATGCATATTTTAGGCGCCAATTTATTAGTGGTGAGAGCAAGGAAACAAAAAAAAAACTAAATTTTCGGAAAACAAGTTGGAAATTTCTATAAAAAATTTGTAACTAAAAATTAGCTGGGTAATTCAGCTGTGCAAACTTAGTAGGTATGCAGTTTGAAAAAAAATGAAAGCAAATAAAGCAACATAATTATTGATAATAAAAACCACATAAATAGAGATCAGAGTCCACAATTAGAAAGTAACACATTAGCAGTTATGAAAACTTGTTTGAAGCAAAAAACAAAACCACAAAAACAATACTATGTAAAACCAATTTCAGACGGTAGAAATATTTTAGCAAGCAAAATACAAAATAAAAATAAATAAAAATGAAAATTAATAAATAATAAATAATACTTATATGTAATAAAAAACTGCTAAACCCAACTAAAATACGAAGCAGGCATATACATACATAAGTATACACAGACACGCATACATACATACATACATTCATACATATATTCTATATTCATATACATATGCATAATTAGCTAACACCAACACAGGCAAATACTAAATACATAAATAAACAAAAAAAGCTAAAAAAAACTATCGCCGAAAACTCCAAACAAATGAAAAAAACAAAATTATGTTGGTTATAAAAATTAAATAAAGCTGAAAATAGAAAAACCCAAAATATAAAAATAAATTATAAAATACCTACAGACCCATTAAAAAATCTCATATCTACTTTAAACTAATTTTTGCTACATTCGCAACCGTTTTGTTAAAGATAGTTGGGAAACAGGGAAAGAGCGTGCGAAATAGAAAGTTCTTTTGTTATTATTTTGTTTTATCAAAAATTTGGAAATTTGTGCAAATTAAAAGTATGGTTTAAACATTTTCGGCCCAATTCTGAATACTCCCGGGGAGTTTGTTCTCCGGGAATTTGTTTCTACCGAGAAAGAAATCCTCCAATAATTAACTCCATGGGAGTAGCATTTTCCCCGAAAATTTGGGAGGAGGAAATTCGAACTTCGAGAGAGCTCACCGCCGCCATTTAAAATAAAAAATGCTTTGAGAATTTTTGTTCATGATAGGAGGAAAGGGAAGGGAGAGAAAACTCTCAGTGAGTTTCTGTTCAGAATCGGCCTGTTTTTTAATAAATTTAGTTCATGTTTTTGCTCTAAAAATTGGTTTTTAATTCTTTAGCTTTTCGTTAAGTTTTCATTTTCTTATGCAATTTCCAAAAAAAAAAATTGTTTGGATTCCCACTAAATCTACATTAGAATTTAAGTTTCTATAAAACAAAATTCTAAATTAAAGAAATCGTTAAAATTTTTAATGTTTTTATTTGCATTAAAAACTTATGATTACATTTTTTATAAAAATACATATTATTTATATGCATATTTTAATTAAACTCAAAAATGTTTCACTGAGAAAATTCTAGTTCTAAAAAACTGAAAAAATTTTTATCTCTTTATTTCAAATCTGTGATTTTTCACAAAAAAAAAAAACTATATTTTTTTTAAATTTCGATTCTCGAAAAAAGATTGCCACAAATTTCCAAAAAAATTTTGTTTTCTAAGAAAAATTCCAGCATATAAAAAATTTTAATTCTAAATTCAACTTTTCATTCATTTTCCAATAGAAAATGTCCTTTCTCATGCATTGCTTGTTTTAGCTAATTGCTTGCTAAATCTGATCTGCTTACTTGCTTTCATAACCTTACACAGTTCCAAAGCTAAGGACCAGCGCGCTGTTGCTTGCCGTTTTGAAAGACATAAAGTTAGTAAAAATATTGTTTAAATTGTAAAATTAAATGTTAAATGAAAATAAAAAAAAATAAAAAAGTTCAACAAATCACAACCCTTCTCAGTTGCGCTCACACGCAACATAATTGTCCACAGTTGGCTATCTCCCTCGTCATAAGCAACCATCATAAGTCACCATAAAATGGTAGTAAGTCCCCATTATTTTCAGTGTACCACATTAAAAGTAACAAAAACGAAACAAGAAAAAATTGCAAAATTAATTTTAAGCCACACAAAAAAAATATATAAGCGTTTGAATTTGAAAATTTTTGAAAATAAAAATTATAATTAAAACAATAGTAATGGTCTTCGATGCTTTAAATATTGTGTAAATAGTTATTAAAATTTATTAATTAAAGCAGCAAAAACATCAAAGCGAGTAAGGTCGAACAAATAAACAAGGAAATAAAAATTGCAAAAAAACAATAAAATAAAAAAAAAACATAAAAGAGCCTGTGTTCTTACTTTAAAAATTAAAAATCTATGACAGTCGCAGAAACTTCAGTTTAACTCCTACATAGTCGAACCGATTTTGGTGCCAAAGGAAAGAGCATCGCTCGGGGCGTTGTCCCACAACATTTTTTATTCGAAATAGGCCCTACTTCGATTTTTTTTGCTATAAAATTACGCAGAAAATGCTTATGCTGAAAAACTCTCGTCTCGCCAACAAAAAAAAGGCGCGAATGCAAAGATGAAGTTATTGGCTAAAATAAAAAAAAGGAAGCGCATTTGCCATGCCCCCTTTTATCCTTTTTTGGGGCCCGAACAAAATTAAAAACGGAAATTCTACA